CCTGAGATTTTCTAGCAAGTCCAAGGATTTGTTTCTACCAGTGAGATAATCAAGGGCCCTTTGGTGAGAATGCTCGTCTCATGGTCTGCTAGTGAAATAACCCAATCTCAGACAGCAGAGAGTCTGCCTGCTGTGCAGGAGACCCGGGTTCCGTCCCTAGGTCGGGAAGATCCCCTGGAGAAGGAAATTGCAACCCACTCCGGCATACTTGCCTGGAGAATCCCATGGACGGAGGAGCCTGGCAGGCTGTAGTCCATGGGGTCGCAAAGAGTCAGACACGACCAAGCGACTTCACTTTCCTTTCCAAAAGTAGGGTCTAGGTGTGTGATCATTCAGATTTTCTGGGGGATATCAGATCCTGCGATGGAGGATGAGTACACAGACTTAAGGGAAGAGATTCCCTGAAACGCCTCCTAGGAGCTGCAGCCTCTGCCTTGAGAATGTGTGCCGGCTTCCCTGGTAAATGTAATGTAAGTGTAATGCTCGTAAAAGGCAGACCAGACGCCATATTGTACAGACAGACTGGAACCTGGTGTTCTCTGGATCCTTGTTTCCCAAAGCATGGTTGGGGGTTGTTGTAGTCATCTTTAAATTTGAGACGGCATGTTCAGTACACAGATGACAACATGAAAGATCACTGTCACATGAAGTTAGAAGGTTTGGTGTTTGATTCTTGAACACCTGCCGGGCAGAGCTGGGCATCCATCTTTCTCCTATTCTGTGACATTAAGTTGTAGTTAAACTTCCAGTTCTGAATTGAGGGCCCACTAAACTGTTCCCTAAAGACCAGATACCTCAGCAAGCTACTCAGTGGGTGAGAAAAAGGATACCAAATTTATCTCCAGGGATTTTTTTTTTTTAAAAGGCTGATGCAAGGATAAAACATCAACAGCTTTGCTTTATGGCCTAGTTAATGATTTTCGCTTTGAAGACCAGGGCATGTGCCTGCATCTGTAGCTGTCAAGGGTCAAGCTGTTTCCAGGCTGACTGTATTTATCACAGCAAATTGTTGAGCTTAAGCAACTTTTAAAATTTGTTGTGTTCTGCCCAAAATACTTCCTATGGAAGTATGGGTATCTTCTTGACCTGTTCACTGTAATGTTTCCCTGAACAGACAGGAAAGACAGGAAAGGTGGATTAATGATCATTTATTGGGTTTTAGTTTAACTGTTTAGATGACATTTTGACCTATAAGATATTTCCTTGTTGTTCAGTCACTAAGTCATGTCCAACTCTTTGCAACCCCGTGGACTGCAGCATGCCAGGCTTCCCTGTCCTTCATCCTTCACTATCTCGTAGAGTTTACTCAAACTCATGCCCGTTGAGCTGGTGATGCCATCCATCCGGCTCATCCTCTGGCATCTCCTTTTCCTCCTGCCTTCAATCTTTCCCAGCATCAGAGGTTTTTTCTAGTGAGTTTTTTTCCATTTTCTTCTCATCAAATGGCCAAAGTATTGGAGCTTCAGCTTCAGCATCAGTCCTTCCAGTGAATATTCAGAGTTGATTTCCTTTAGGTATTTCCTTATACTGTCCTATGCTTAGTCACTCTGTTGTGTCCGACTCCTTGCAACCCCCTGGACTATAGCTCGGCAGGCTCCTCTGTCCATGGAATTCTCCAGGCAAGAATACTGGAGTGGGTTGCCATGCCCTCCTCCAGGGGATCTTCCCAACCCAGGGATCAAACACAGGTCTCCCGAATTGCAGGCGGATTCTTTACCATTTGAGCCACCAGGGAAAGTTTTACGTGATTTGAAATACTGCTTTTTAAATGCTAGCTGAGCTATAGAAAAACCTATAGGTTTGCTTTTGTTTAGATAGATAGATAATCTTAAGTGTCAGGATATCTAAAGTTGTGGTTTAAAATGTCATATCACGTTGTCAGCTTTCTGGTGTCATTAATTTTCTGGACTGCAGCAGTAGAAAGAGACCCCAGTGGTATATTCAGGGCTGTCCCGAGAGCTCTGTTGCTGATTCATTCAGTAGATCTTCTTGGCACTCATAGCACATGCGCGGCTATGGCGGTGGCTAAGCATATAATGGTGAATAAGACCGTGACATCACAGAACTCCTGCTCTGGAAATCAGTACCGTTGGTGATTGGACTTAGTTTTCTGTACTCTTTAGCCTTCCTCCTGGCACTGCTTCGTGCCTTTCCTGTGGGTGGACCGTAGTGAATTGTTGCAGGTCCCTGAGAACATCCTGCTCCCTGTGTCTCCTTTTCTTTGCTCCTGCTGTTCCTATTACCCAAAATGTTCTGCCCTTATTCGTTTACCTGACAAACTCCCATCTCTGAATCCTTTCCATCCTCTGCTAGGCCATGTGAACTGCTTCGATTTTAAACCTTTGTAGAAATAAACACCCTTCCCAGAGTAGAATTGGTATGTCTCTTTTGTCCCCACCTCCAGAGCCAGGACCTCCTCTAGACAAGCTGGAGGTTTAACTGAATGATGAGTTGACATTTGGCACCATCAAGTGGCTCAGCCAGGCAGTGCGACTTAATTTAAGATGAGAACAGCCTGATTTATGCCACCCCAAGGAGGGAGGCAGGGAGGACTAGAATAGAATAATGTAATTGGAACGTATCATTAGTAGACTACCTTTATACTGAGAGGCTCGAAACTTCTCTCTTGATAGGCTTGTGATCTATATATGAGAAAGGTTTTTTTTTTTTAATCTTTCCTTTTTTGTAAGCAAGAAACCCGAGGCACAGAGGTGTGACAGCGTTTGCTTGAGGTCCTTCACCACTGAGTCAGAGTGCACGCACACATTCTCTCTGCTCTGTTCGATGCTCAGCTTGACGAACAAGCTTTCTTTCCCTACCCATTGTCAGAGCCTCGTGAGCTCTGCATTTCACACTGTGTGTTAGCCTGGGATCGCTCTTTGGTTTGTACCATCGCATACTGGATCCTTGCAGCAACATGGTGTTAAAAATAAGAACCTATTTGACAACAACAACAACAAAAAAATGCTTTTTTAAGTGAAGAATAAGTGTAGAGTAATAATTCCAGTAAGTGTGTGTGTTAATCACTCAGTCGTGTCCAACTCTTGGTGACCCCATGGACTGTGGCCCACCAGGCTCCTCTGTCCATGGAATTCTCCAGGCAAGAATACTGCAGTGGGTAGCCATTCCCTTCTCCAGGGGGTCTTCCCAATCCAGGGATTGAACCCAGGCGTCCCACACTGCAAACAGATTCTTTACCATCTGAGCCACCGAGGAAGCCCAATTCCAGTGAACAAACTGTCAGACGCCAAAAAGTCACCCAGTCAAAGCTGGCCCAGGCATTGAAGTACTTTGGGGTAGTTTGTCTCCTTAGTGTCCGGTTTGTGACTGCAGGGAGTAAGAAAAGGTTGGCGAGTGACAGTGCTTAGGCCCTTGGCTTCATGGTTCTATTAGGTGGGTTGCAGCTTCAGCTCACCTGTTATGGAGGGTGACTCATGCTTGGGAATGAGAAAAAATAACAAAAGAGAGAGATGGGAACTCCCCGCTCTTAGCAGAAAGAAAACCTATAGATTGGAGCACCTTTCAGTTTTATTTCTGCCTTTAGTAATGAAGTTTTTTATTTTGACCACCATGTTTTGAAATAGATCCACTTCCTTAATAGAAGTTTCATTGTAATCTATACCCTTTCCTTTCACACATTTCAGATAAAGAGAGTACATTCACTCCTTGGTATACAAGCGTGCCCAAGTAATTTCAGAGTGTAGAAGGGAGCTCTTGTGTGACTCAAGAGTCGCTGTAGTAGGGTTTCCTTTCATTCTGTGTTGCGGCGTATCTAAAATACAGCAAGCATCAGAAAGAATTAATTCCCCTAAATAATAATAATTAATTCCCCTAAATGATAAAGAATTAATTCTCCTAAAAGGTAATGTCCAGGTCTGTCATCCCACACTAGTGCTGTCCAAGGTCTGTTAGTTACCCAAGCTGTTTCCGTAATGTTACCCTGTCTCCCCCACAACAAAGAAAAAGAAAAAAACAAGACAGATGGTGGTCCTAGCTCATCAGCAGCAAAGTTTATAAAACTCAGAAGCAGAACGGCAAGAGACTAGGGGAGAAAAGTGGGAAGGCCAGAGCTGAGAGTGTGGGGTGTCTTTTATTTTAGATGGGCCAAAGCTGATAGAACAAGCTTAGTAACGGTAACGTAGGGAGAAAATTAATTTTACCTCTATAGGGACATAAAATGTCAAAAACTCCTATATGGTGGTTCTGTAACCATGTTGTTTTAGTCAGAGTAGAAAGCATCCTATTCCGAATCTCTGCTCTAGATTTGTTTAATGCTTCTTTTTAAAGACTCAAAAAGGTGTGTTTCTGCTTATTTTTTTTAACACTTTCTCTAGTCTCGAACCCTGTTGTATTGATCAGGCAGTTCAGTTCAGTCGCTCAGTCGCGTCCGACGCTTTGTGACCCCATGGACTTGGGCGCGCACAGCAATGAAGAAATTTCTCTATTTTTTAGGGAAGGCTTTTTTTTTTTAAACATCTGTTTGATTTACTTATTTGTGCTAGGTCTTCATTGCCACGCTCGGGCTCTTTCGAGTTGCGGTGAGCAGGGGCTGCTCTTCGCTGCAGCGCCCAGGCTTCTCACTGCCGTGGCTCCTCTCGTGGAGCAGAGGCTCTGGGCACTTGGACCTCAGTGGGCACAGCTGCGGGCTGGTAGTTGCCGCTCCCGGGTTCTGCGGTGCAGGCCCAGTACTTAGGGTTCACGGGCTTTGTCGCTCTGCAGCTTTCTGTGTCCTCTGCATTGACAGGCGGATTCTTATCCACTGCGCCCCCAGGGAAGTGACAGATTTGGTTTGGTTTGGTTTTTTAAACTTGTCTTCTGCAGTCATTTCTTCCATCACGGTAGCTTTAGATAGCTGCGTCTCTTTTTCTTCTGTCTCTCTCCAAAGATACAAACTGTATACTTTTTCAGAATGTTTCTGCCACTCAGAGCAATCAAGCATCACAGTGAATTCTGGGTTTATGGCCTTGCTAACCAATGGCGTGTTTTTTGTGGGGTTCTAGAGTGTTCTGCCCTACTATGTTGCAACCAAACTGGCTAAAATTCGAAAACCAACTTTGGACAAGCCCTCTTCAGAGACGTTTGTGAAGTCTGCCATTAAAACCATCGGCATGCAATCCCGGACCAATGGATACTTCATCCATTCTCTTATGGTATGTCAATTTTTAAGTCCCAAGTTAGTACTTTGGTTTGGGGTTTTCTTTCCCTTTGACTCACAAAATTAGTATGTGATACATTAGCATATATATATTGTCTAGATTTACTAGCAAGGCCTCCATGTTTTCCACTGCACATCTGAGAACTCTTAAATCTATCTATGAAAAAATAGTAATATAGTAAAACATAAGATCATATGTATCAAATGAATTCAGATTGCAGGCCTTAATTACATATCTCTCTGTTTCTTTCCCTAGGCCTCAGTAGTCTCAATACTGCCTTCCTGGTTGTACTTTAAAGTGATCATGAATGTGAACAAATCTGTCCGGGCTCACTATTTCAAGAAAATGAAGAAGAACTGAGCACTGGTAACAGCTTTGAGTAACTCAGCAGATGCACCAGCCTAGGTGTGTTTGCTGCAAGGCACCCACCATTTCCAAATCTTCAGTTGTCATGCTTATTAACAGTTATTGATAAAGCTAAATGTTGTCATAATTAGGAGGAAAGCAGAGGTTGCTTTCAGGAGTTCCTGGCATATATTCTGGATGCTACCAGGAGTTATTTAGAAGTTTAACATAAATGCTCATATCAAATGGATATAGAACTAACATTAGCAAGAACTGCTTACTATTAATAGAAGGAACATAATTATAGCAAATCAGTGAATGACAGAGTCAGACATAAGGCTAAACAGTTTCATCTGGTCCAAAATGCCAATGATGATTATCCTTGTATTTGCACGGAAATGTACTTTTAAAAAGTAATGGCCAGCTACTCTTTTTTTTTTTGGTTTTGTTTTTAACTTTTTAAGGGAGTGGGGATTCACTGATATGGACAGACACACTGCAGTCTGCAGAGTGCTCTGTAAGCTTTCCTAAAAGCGTGTTTGCACAGTTATGTAGAACTTTCCTTTCGCAGGGGTAGCTAGTGACGTAAAAATAATGGAGTTATTTTTGACACATGATGCCTACTGAAATACGCTTTCCTCTAATACACATGTCTTCTCGGTTTAAATGTATGTAAACACTGAACGCTCTGCAGTATGATTTATGAAGGTAAACAGGCCGAAATGCACGCTGAGGGGCAGCCCTTCCAGTGCCGCTAAAACCCTGGCCCGGGAAGGCGGCCTTCTTGGACCGCAGGTTCTTCGTTTCTGCCCCGCACCGATACTGCTCACATGGGTGACACCGGGCCGCTCCTAGGACAGTGATGATATCAGGGAAGTGGTGTTACACTTTTAAATAGGTACCGTATAGGTACTGATACAATTAGTTTTAATAAAAGATGATATAACCATGATGTTGATTGAAAATGTATTTCTTTGGTGCTTGAAATTAAGGCCATTTTTGCACTGGTTTAATATAAATTAAGACTTTTTTCCTGCTACACGCATAACTTGTTTGGGGAACTTGCTAAGAAATTAATTCAGTGTTGTGGAATATGCACAAAGCCAGATCTTTACCTAGGCTGTGGTTCCCAGATTCTGAGTTTTAAGCACCAGGAAATTTGGAAAACAAAACAAAACAAACATCCATTTTAATTGGCATATTTAAACGTGTTTCTAGCTTTTAAACTTGCCAGCCAAGGACATTTGGAAAAAAAAAAAAAAACAGAAAAACCCAAATCACCATCTGCCATTGCATCATTATATAAAAGTAAAGAAACTTTAGTACACTTAAAATAGGAAGAATATAATCTCAGAATAAAAAAATAGTCATTTAAATTGAATAAATTTAGCTTTACAAAAAACACTTTGCCTTTCTCTCTCTCATTTTTTTGTACAAATGGTGAAGTCACAATGACCTGGGCAATATATTATTTGCTTTCACACATTTGTTGGTTGATTGTGGTGGTGGTGGTTTTGGTGGAGAGTTGGTGGAGAGGGGGAGGGATTGGTTTGCAAGTATGCAAAATGCTGCTTCTTGTTCCCCATCGAGAAAATAGTGGTAGTCTGGCTAGGAAACCCCTTAGCAGTCTCGAACTTCTGAGGCATGGCTCTGACTCCTTCAGCTCAGTGAGCATCCTCTCGTATGTGACACTCAAGGCTGAAAATGACGACCTGACAGTCTGCTTCCAGGAGCATGAAAGGAAAAAGTACACCAAGAGAGAAACCAGTGTTCTCAAAACCCATTCAAAATAGCGAAGCATAGTTTTTAGACTTCATTTTATAGTGACTTGACTTTATAGTCTGATGTGTGCTAGATAACGGTCTGAACCCAAAAAGAGTAGAAGATAATATTTATTGTTTATGTAGAATCTGCTCACCTCATGACATAGAAAACTGGATTTTAATTTATTGGTCCTTCATTGTCCTTTCAGTACCATAGCATGGTGCGCTGGTGGCCAGGAGAGGTATTGCCCTGCACACAGAATGATGTAAGCTGTTTTGATTTGTCCTTGTATCAGGCCCACGTGCACTGGGAATAAAGAAAGATACTAATCAGTTTCTATTTCCTCAAATGTGGTCCCGATCTAAAGAGATGAATTCTTGAATTCTCATTGATATTTATTGCATCAAAATACAATGGAAGTGAACTTTATATAAAGTGAACATCAATTCTAATATCAGTACAAATGGTGCTAATTCAGTGTAGAAGAGGAGATTTTGGGGGTTAATAATACAAGTGTAAAATGAGCTTGTGTGCATTCTTAGTCACTCAGTTGTGTCCAACTCTGCAATCCCATGGAGCCTGCCAGGCTCCTCTGTCCATGGGATTTCCCAGGTAAGAATACTGGAGTGCATTGTCCTCCTCATGGGGATCTTCCCGACCCAGGGATCAAACCCGGGTCTCCTGCGTTGCAGGTGGATTGTTTGCCATCTGGAACTATGTAGCCTCCAGGGACTATAATTTCTGAAGTCTACTGATACCAAAAATTACCTGAGACTTTGGTGGTCTTGGGTTCTGCTGCTTTGCTCTTTAGCTTACCAGGATCAAAACATACCAAAACACTTTATTTAATATGTTGGATAAAAATATTTAAAAAATTTTAAGGACTCACTACTTTGTGACATTCTAATATTTTTAGATTAGCAGATTTATGTCACTCATGATGTAAAACATATAAATAGGGACAAAATTAAAATTCCCGTGTGGAAATGTAATTCTTCCTATTGAGATTTATATGGAAACATCTAGAAATGAAACACTAGCATGAACACAAACTTAATAGATGAAAAAATTTTAACATGGTGAATGGTAATACCACAACTTTGTGCCCTTCCCTTACCTGTGTCATTGAAAAGCAAGCAAAATGGGTACTACAGACAGTAATCCTAAAAGGATATAAAGCTAGCTTGTCATCCTTGTTACAAAAGCTTCTAGACAAATTTGTGTGAATTTATTGAATGCCAACCATGTCCATTTACGCTTCTGGAAGCTGGAGAAACTGCCCTGTTAAGCTAACCCTTGAGCTTGGGGATGGGGGAGAGCCCAGGGAGGGAGCAAAGAAAAGACAGGTAATAAACAAAAGAAATAAACGCAGTATAAGTGCTATATGCGGAGGGGAAAATGAAGCAGAGTTAAGGAGGATGGGGAATCAGTGCTTGTCGGGGTAGGGGTGGGAGGCTTGTGCTGTTAAATAAGGTACTCATGGTAGGCCTAGAGAGGTGGTGTTTGAACTGTCTTGAGTAAGCCTTTTAGCTCTCTAGGGACAGAGCATTTCAGGCAGACCAGCCCGTGCGAAGAGCCCAAGGAGACAGCATACCTGGTGTGTTCCCGGAATAGCCAGGAGTTACGTACATACTGAAGCACATACTAGGTGACCAATTTCTGGATGATTTCAGAGATCTTGCTTTAGTTTAGTTATGACTTCCTAGTGTTATCACCTTTACATTTTTGATCTTATTTCACTACCTTTATTCACTGCATAATTCAGTTTGCTGGTATTTTAGTTGGATTTCTGCATCTATATTTAAGAAATGGGCTTGCAATTTTTCTTTCTCATATTTGTATGGTTTTCATATCAAGATTATAACCTCACTGGGAAATTCCTGGCAGTCCAGTGGTTTGTACTCAACACTTTCACCACTGGGACCGTGGTTCAATACCTGGTCAGGGAACTAAGATCCTGCAAGCTGCAAAAAAACACAAAAAAACAAAAAAAATGTTTATAACTTCATTAAATGAGCTTGGGAGTGCTGCGTATTTTACTGTGCTCTAGAAGAATATGTAAAAGATTGAGACAATAATAAACTGTTTCTTTGAAAGTTAATAAAACCAGTCTGGCCCTAGTATTTATTTGTAGGAAGATTGTAGCATCTACTTATCTTGTTGCTTTAAAGATAAGACTAGTCACGGTTTCTGTTTTTTTGAGTTAATTTTGAAAACTTTTTTCTAAGCGTATACTCATCTCCACCCTCCTTCAAATTTATTAGCATAAGAAACTTGAGGAACTTTCTTATTTGTTTAAACCTCTGCTAGATATGTGTCTGTTTCCTTTCCCAGTGTTGTTTGTCTTCTCACTTTTTTCCTTGACCAGTTTGCTAGAAGTTTGTCTATTTTATTAATTTTTAAAAGAACTGGTTTTTGGCTTTGTTGATTCTCTCTGCCTTTTTTTTTTTTTAATCCTCTCCTGCTTTCTAGAGGTTTACTGTGTTATTTTTCTTTTTTCATAATTTGAACATTTGTTTCATGTTCAATGTGTTTTTTTACTCTTATATAAACCCACAATTTGTGTGTGTGTGTGTACACATATGTATATACACAAGTGTATTCTTCAGTGCTAACATTATATCTTTACATTAGAATTTCTATGACCTATGAATTTTTTAGAAATGTTTTTAAAGACACAAATTAAAGTAAATGTATTTCCTTTAAAAAAAAAACTTGTATTCATGTCACAATTAATTTTACTTTATGTACATTCTGATATGATGGACTAAAGATACAGCATCACTTATGGTGGTATTCCTAGCAAAAATGTATAAACTGGATATAATCAAGAAGAAATGTTTTTTAAAAAACTAAAGGATATTCTAAATAACCAATTTATATTTGTCAAAACTTTCAGATTAAAGAAGACTAAAGAAACATGCAAAACACATGATCTTGGGTTGGAACCTGGTTGAGAAAATTTTTTTTTGCTCTACAAAGGACAGTTTTGAGACAATTTGTGAGATTTGAGAAGTCTGAAGATTAGATAATAGCATTATATCAATGTTAATTTCCTGAGTTTGATCAGGTTACTTAAGAAAAAGCTTACTTAAGAAAAAGCTCTTGTTTTTTAGGAAATGCACACTAGAGTATTGATGGATAATGGGACGTTATATATGCAATGTAATCTAAAAAGATTCAGAAAAAATATGTATACAGAAAATGATAAAGCAAATGTGTTAGTATGTTAACATTTGGAGAATCTAAGTAAAAGGGAAATGGGAATTCTTTGTGCTATTTTGCAAATTTTCTGTAAATCTAAAGTTATTTCAAGATAAAAAGTTAAATCTTTTGTTGTTGATTTCTAAATAATTGCATTCTAATCAAAGAACATGTGAATATGACATAGTTTTAACCTTTCTCCACTTCAGTTTTGTGTTCTGAAAAATGGGAATAATGACAGCACCTATCTCATAGATTGTTTTGAGCACAGCTTAATATTTTAAAGTGCTCAGAATCCAGCCTAGCATAAGGTATACACACACATACATATATATGTTAAGGCATATCCAACTCATTGTGACCCCATGGACTGCCAGGCTCCTCTGTCTTCCACTACTCCCAGAATTTGCTCAAATCATGTCCATTGAGCTGGTGATACTCTCTAACCATCTCATCCTCTGCTGCCCCCTTCTCCTTTTGCCTTCAGTCTTTCCCAGCATCAGGGTCTTTTTCTAGTGAGTCAGCTCTTCCCACAGTGGCTAAAATATTAGAGCTTCAGCTTCAGCATCAGTCCTTCCAATGAATATTCAGGGTTTTCCTTTTTGACTGATTTGATCTCCTTGCTGTCCAAGGGACTCTCAAGAGTCTTCTGCTGCACAATTCAAAAGCATCAATTCTTCGGCACTCAGCCTTCTTTGTGGTCCAACTCTCACATCTGGAGTCAGGCAGGACTGAGCAAGTAACACTTTTTGATTACATAGACCTTTGTGGGCAAAGTGATATCTCTGCCTTTTAATATGCTGTCTAGGTTTGTCTTCCAAGGAGCAAGTGTATGGTAAAAAGTGGTACCCAAAGATATCAGGTTTTAATCCCTGTATCTGTAAGTGTTACCTTATATGGAAAAGGGGTGGGTATGATTAAGTTAGGGATCTTGAGATGAGATTTTCTTAGGATATCCAGATGGACCCTAAATGGAATCACAGTGTTCTTCATGAGAGAGAAGCAGAGAAAGATTACTGAAGTAGGAGATGGCAACCCACTCTAGTATTCTTGCCTGGAAAATTCCATGGACAGACGAGCCTGGCAGGCTGCAATCCATGGGGTCACAGAGTTGGACACGACTGAGCACACACACAGCCAGAAGAGGAGAAAGCAGTGTGGCCACAAACACAGAGATTGCAGTTATGCAGCCACACGCCAAGGAATGCCATCAGCCATCAAACGTTAAGAGCCGGGAATGGATTCTCCCCTAGAAGTTCTGGAAGATGCAGGGCCCAGTCTTTGTATTAGTAACCGAATTTGGACTCTGGCCTCCTGAACTGTGAGAGGATAGTCATAATTTAAGCCACTGAGTTTGTTACAGTGACCACAGGAAACAATCCCTAACAGCTATAAACTTATTACCTAGTCTCAGAAGTTTTTGAGACTTATGTCTAGGTAGAGCCAATGCTTTAAATGTGCCAAGTGTGCTTAAGAAGAATATCTGTTTTCTAATTGTTATTTTTCAATATATGTCCTTTATGTTGTTTGTTAATTGTATTCAAATCTGCCATCTCTTTATTATTATCTGCCTGATCTGTCAGTAATTGATAAGTGTTTTGAATTCTCTCACTGTAATGAATTTGTTGAATTCCCCTGTTTTATCCATTTTTATTTTATACATTTTGAAGCTATCTTTTTAGATGAATAAATTTTAGAATTTTGATTTTCTGGTGAGTTGAACTTTTTTTTGTCATGTACTGACATCCTTATTGCTAGTGCGTTTGCCTTAAAATCTCTTTTCTGTGATATCAAATTAGGTACCTCTATCTTTCTATGTATTTATGTTTCATAAGCAAAATAAACCTGGGTCGGGCGGGTGGATAGTTGTTTTTTAATTTGGTAGTCTCTGCTTTTTACAGGCAAGTTTATTTCATGTATAACTTATGATTCTTAAAACATGAAGGCTTCTTTCTATAATGTTATTTTGTTCTCTTTGTTTCTTTTATGCTTCTTTGTTTCTCACTTTTTGATTGGCTAAATTTTTTTTTCTTTTACTTTGTTTTTCCTCCTGTACTAGTTTGGAAGTTTTACATTCTTTATTTTCCTTGTCTTTACTCCTGAACATTTTCAGTGCATACACAATACAATGTAAAGTTATCTGGAGGGATTTCCCTGGTGGCCCAGTGACTAGGACTCAACACTTTGACATCAGGGAGTGTGGGTTCAATACCTGGTCTGGGAATTAAGATCCCACATGCTACCCAGTACAGCCAAAATTATATGTATTATTATACATATATGTATATACATCCCCTCTTATTAACATCCTGCATCAGTGTGGTTCATTTTTCACAACTGATGAACCAGTATTGTTACATTTGATTATCAACTAAAGTCCACAATTCACATTAGGGTTTCCTGGACCTTTTAACAAATGTGTGTGATGTGACCGTCACTACAGTATCATAAAGAACAGTTTCACTGCCCTAAAAACCCCATGCTCCTCTTATTTATCCCTCCCTTTTCCTCCACCTCCAGACCCCTGCATCCGTGATCTTTTTGTTGTCTCTATAGTTTTGCCTTTTCCAAAATTCTATAGTTGGAATCACTATAGTACATAGACTTTTCAGACTGTTTTTTTTTCCACTTCATATGCATTTAAGTTTCCTCCGTGACTTTTCAAGGCTTAATAGCTCTATTCTTTTTATTGCTGAATAATATCCCACTGTACAGATGCACAGAGTTTGCTTATCCATTCACCTATTGAAGGGCATATTGGTTGCTTCTGGTTTGGACAGTTATGAATAAAGCTGCTGTAACCATTTGTATGCAGGGTTTTATGTAGACAAAAGTTTTCAACTCATTTCAGGTAAGTACCATGGTGCATGATTACTGGATTATATAGTAAGAGTGTTCAGGTTACTTCTGCTTAGCTTCTTTTCTGTCAGCTATCTTTTAAGTTCACTAATCCTCCCATATTGAAGGTATTTTCTGTGTTAAATCCATGTTATATCAGGTATTAATACATTTCACCTCTGGAATGTTCATTTGATTCTTTAATTTCTAGTCGTCTATTTAAATACTCCCTTTTTCGTGTTTTGCCCACTTCTTCTATTTTTATAAATATTCTAATTGTTTTAAAGTCCTTGTCTGCTTACTCCTACATCTGGAACATCTGTGGATCTACTTATTTTTTTCTTTTGAGGAGCAGTCACATTTTTCTGCCTCCTCACATGTCCCACAATTTTTAAATACTACATGCTGGAGATTCTATGTAAAAGAACCAAGACTGAAGCCAATGCTATCTTTTTTTAGGCAGGCTTTGCCACCTCCCTAGTAGATAGGATGGAGACTGATCACTTCAACCTAGATAAGTCTTGAGCTGATCTAGTGTTAGGTTGCCACTTTTATCATATTCAGTGCCACTGTCGTTTGACATGTCAGCAGAATGAAACCGGTCATATGTTTCTTGTGGGCTCATCTTTCTGAAGATTTAGCTTTTCAAGGGAAGTAAGACCATGAGAGGTTCCACCTTGTCTTTTCATCCCAGACCTCTACCCTTCTGTGCAACCATGTACTCAGCAGATGCCTCGTGGGGGGAACTGGTCATGCATCTGAGAGTGCTTCTAGATCCAGTCCATCATGCTATCCCAGTGACTGTCAAAAGGTCTGTTGGAGTCTTTCCCCTTGTAGAGACGCCACTGTCTTTGGCAACTCCAGTCAACAGTTGTCATGCTTGGAAAATGTCCCAGGGGAAGAACATAGCCAGCTCACCTAGTGAGGGCTCGCTCTTCAGAAGTTTAGTTAAGCTAGTCCTCATTGCATCCAAATATCTCCAGTGTCTTCAAAGGAAAATTATTTATGATTGTTTTTCCTGCTGTAATAGTGACTGCTTGCTACTACCATGTCCCACTGAAAAATAGGGACTTCACTGAGTTTTTAATTTTAATTGTTACATTTGGTTCTTTTTTTAAAAAAATAGAAAAGCTTTGAATTTTTGATGGTTTCAACTATACTTATATCTTTGTTTTATTTATTTCAACATATTAAACACCATTATGTTGTGTTTCTTATGGTTCCAATAATCCAGTTTTTTTAATAGATGTTTCTATTGTTTCTGCTGACTTTTGCTAATGGTACTTCATTTCCCCCTATTTTTCATGATTCGTGTGAGTTTTTCATTAGACCTATATTGAAATTATTCAGAATCTTATTGAGTGTAAATTTTCCTGGCAGGATTTGTGTTTTCATCAGGTATGGGGGCGTTACTGATTTTCACCTGCCTTATATTAAAATTCTCAGGTTTGTGGCTATTGGGTTTCTGTTGTTCTTGGGTGTGGGGGAGGGGACAGGGAAATTGTACAAATGGTATTAATTCATCCTTACAGAAAGAAAAGAAAGTGAAGTCACTCAGTCATGTCCAACTCTTTGCAACCCTATGGACTGGAGCCCACCAGGCTCCTCTGTCCATCCATAGGATTTTCCAGACAAGAGTCCTGGAGTGGGTTGCCAGTTAAACCCATAGAAAATTAGGCTAGTGGCCATGAGTTCTCAGGGAAGAGTTCTTCCTACCCTTAGTTAATGCCAAGACAAAAAAGTTTGCTTGCTGTTGGCCTTTGTGACATTTCTGCACCCCTTTCTGGTGTCGACTCCTTTGCGCGTCTCAGCTTTACTCGGGTCTCTGCTACAACTCTCCTCCTGCGCTTGGGCTCCATCCTGTCCTAACCCATCTGCCCCCGCCCCCAGGAATATCCAAGCAGTGGGCCACCCAGGAGTGTGTATGTCCCAGCCTACTCATCTCTCTGGACTCAGATTCCCACATTATTCCTGGTCTCAGCTGCTGCTGCTGCTAAGTCGCTTCAGTCGTGTCCTACTCTGTGTGACCCCATAGACAGCAGCCCACCAGGCTCCCTCGTCCCTGGGATTCTTCAGGCAAGAACACTGGAGTGGGTTGCCATTTCCTTCTCCAATGCATGAAAGTGAAAAGCGAAAGTGAAGTCGCTCAGTCATGTCCAACTCTTGGCGACCCCAGGACTGCAGCCTACCAGGCTCCTCCATCTATGGGATTTTCTAGGCAAGAGGACTGGAGTGGGGTGCCATTGCCTTCTCCACTTGGTCTCAGAAGAAATCTTTTTTTTTTGCACAAGC